AGCATGAACTCAAAATTGACTGAAAATACAGATGATGATACTTCTAGAATTTCTTTCCTTTTTGTCATGTCTAAAGTGTACGAGCGATAACGCCGAACACAAAAGATAAGAAAAACGCACATAAGGTGGAAATAAGTGCAATTGTTAACAACAGTAATTTTAGCAAAATCTGCTACCGCAACAATTACCTTGCTTTACCTGTGAATATTGCAGCGTCGCAGTCAAATAGTGTTGGGTAGGGTGAAATATGCTCTAGTTTAACATATCCAAATTTCGCGCGATTTGGTCCACTAAGAAAAAAGTTATGAGGGAAAAAGCGTCAAAGCCTTCCACCCAAGACTTTTGAGCGCTACTGTATATACTAACAGAAACAGTTTCCGAAGGACCAGCCTCGACGTACGGCCTGAAAGAAGTCCAAAGCAGTGCTTTCACCTTACCCTACATGTTGATTTGAATTTGGCTGTCCTCCAACACGACCAGGCATTCAATCGGTAAAAATGACATAAGTACACTGGAAAAGTGGGATCCCTCGTCAGTGAAACGATAGTGAAAGAACAAGAAGAATAGGATTTGAGAAGAATGTTCCAGGCATTAGGCCTCTGAATCGGATTGATATTTTGGTCAAGGAACTTAGACTCCTTCCTCACAGGTTCCATCCCCTTTTTGCTTCCTGCTTCGCTGATTTTCTTGAAGCTGTGATGGCTCTGGAATAAAGACAACAAATCAAACACCAACACCCCTTCATTTATGCAAGATTTGTTAAACAACGTGGGAACTTCTCTTCCGCTGAAAAACAAAGAATGAGAATTCTTTAATATAAAACTTTGTAATTTGCACGAAATATGAATACAATGATTATGAATATTCATCGGTTTCCCTTATCTTCTTTTTTATCTCCTGTGACGTCTGCTCCTTCTCGATTTGCTGCTATGTAAAAGGACATGTGGTGCTCGCATAATAATGGAACTACTAGATGTGCTAGTCAGGGAAGCGTGTCTCCTTGTCTTATCCGGCTGAAATAAATATAGCTTCAATAGCCGCTTAATATTAGTATGTTTGACCAGCTAAACACCCTGACTCATAAGGAATTAAAGTGTTGCAAAACTTGAAAAGGTTATTTTATCAGACAATAGGTCAGTGCTCGCCATGGAAGGAGGTGAAAGAGAACAAAATCGAAGTATTGCAGAATGAGACAGCGCTAGAGCTTAGGAAACAGTTCTACGGATCTCCTTCACTTGAACTCCTCTCTCACAGGGGGATCCCTTTGTGCTTATTGACGAGCCTACGTAAGGCGATGCCAGGTGACGGATTTGAACTTCCTGGTTTGCTATGCTGAGTCGACATACCCTCTGTATCTCGCATGTGTATCCGCACATACGTGTTTGGAGAGTCTGCGCGTGCAGTTGGTATCCTTCACATCAATTCAGTCGAAAGCTTGCATTCGGATGACTAAAAAGTATCCGCCCGCCTCCAGAACCAAAGCCCCTGGTTCACCCCGCGACCTGACTAACAAACAAAAGTCGGCTCAATCCCTACATCATACCCTGACAAGAACTATTTGCCCAAAAACAATAATATAAGTGGTTATCATACCCCTGAGTTCCAGGAAGCCCCCAATACGGCAGCGTTCGGTAGGATCCTGTGCGAGGCTGCTAAAATCAGTGGGCCAGAAGATGCTGCTCAAAAGGAGGGGAATCAGGATGGCAATCTACAATTGCACTACACCATTGCTTGCATCGGAAGCGTGAATCGATTACCCGATTATGTAACCAAGGAAGATCGAGTACGACGTCATTGGTTCATATAGGCAATGAGATCAGTAGAAGTTGAGGCATCGTCTGCTGCACGCCGTTTTTGACACTGAAGACGAACTCTCCCTTGGAGCGGGTGACAGTAGAGGCGTCGGCGGCGTAGGTGTGCCCGGCAATACACACTTGACCGTGAAAAATGATTCGTACGACAACTTGGCAACACGAATCGGACGTTTGTGACTGAGAGGATGGAGTGCAACCTCAGCTCTACTGATCTTCATTGCCTAATTGCACCTGAAAGGCTGTTCATATAGGAGCACATTTTCTTCAAGGTGATTTCAACGCCAAGACTAGCGCAGAAGAACAGAGAAAAATCCACAAATCGTGACCCACGAACGAAATGGAATAAGCAGGTAAAAGACTGCCCGTGTTCATCATATCGATTCTCACTATCCACGTTAATTCGCTGTTCTACGAACTCTCGTGAGCATGGGAGCCACCTGGCGGATATATCCATAATAAAATGGATCACGTCATCTTCAACCGGATGTTTTGCTTGAATAAAGTCGCTATTTTTTTGCAGTTATCGGATCGGATTATCGTCTCGTCAATTCTAGATTCTCTTCTTCACTGCGTGGAGAAAGAGCTGGGAAGTTGAGGAAGCGAAGTCCTAAGACCATTATCAACTGGAACCAGTTCGCTTTCCTTGCTCGTAAAAGCTACTGTTATGAACAACATCGATGAAAAATATAACACCGGCTCGTCATACATCCACATGATTGCACTAGAAAGGCAGATAGACTAACCACCTACACCGAACTTGCGAAAATATGCAGAGAAGCGCTAAACAAAGATCTGAAGGAAAGAAGAGCAGCAGTTATCGCCGGGACCTTTAAAGCTGGGAAGAATAGTCGCATCAGGATAGTTGGCTTAATCAGTTAGAAGATCGTGACGGCTTATCTTTGTCGTCCCCAAATTAAACTGTATATTGAATGACAATGGAGAAGGTCATCTACGACTTGTACCTTAGCAAGCATCCTGTCGATCCCTCCTTCCAAAATTATAAAAGCTGAGCCTTTTAAAATTCGCATTCATGGTCTTTTAGCTGGTCACTAATGCTTGACGTAGCTGATCAGTATTGATACAAGAGGGCGAGGTCTTCATGTAAGTTGGAAGAACTCGTTTGGTCATAATTTTCCGGCTCCTTTAGCATCAACTGGTGTGGATGGGATACATGCTGGCCATACTGGTATGTAACTGGACTGCTGTGACAGCGATGTATGAGATGTCCGAACTGTGCACTAGTCACATCACCTTGATATGTATCTGTAACTGCAAAAACAGCCTGCCTTATGAACCCTTTGTCATTTTTTCTAGGATTCAGCAAAAATTTCAGAAGATTTGTACGACAAATCAACACCCGGATAAATTAGAGACAGTTGCTTCCATTGAAACTGAGTTCTAATTCTTAAAGGTACATGCGCGCTCAGCGTTCTTTGAAAAACTAAGCACTCACTACAATGGTAATGCTCACCACATATTTCTTCGTTCTTCCACTTGTAATGACACAGACAATCGCAACAAGCACTAGTATACCTCCTATCATATACAAAATGATAAAGCTCGCAGATGTGTCTGGAAATGACTGCCTTATATATGTAGTACCAGTTAGCTAACGAGTCGCCATGTATTGTAGCAGAGTACGCTTCCAACAGAGTTAGAACCTTCAGGTCTGATATCGAGTCCTCTCCCCCTTCCCCTTAAGGAATATAGCCTGCAAGTANGCAACCAGCACTAGTATACCTCCTATCATGTACAAAATGATAAAGCTCGCAGATGTGTCTGGAAATGATTGCCTTCTATATGTAGTACCAGTTAGCTAACGATTCGCCAAGTATTGTAGCAGAGTACGCTTCCAACAGAGTTAGAACCTTCAGGTCTGATATCGAGTCCTCTCCCCCTTCCCCTCAAGGAATATAGCCTGCAAGTAGTGTTTGAAGAATTTATGGGGAAAGTGCCATCAGAAAGGCCCCTTCCATCTTGTCATACGCTCCTTCCATTCTAAACTTCACTAGATCTCTCCGCGTGCTTCTTCAGGTAATAAAGGATTTCGTGGCAAAACAACAGACGACAAATAAGCAGAAGCCAACACCTTATATTTGGTAAGGATGGTGAGGTAACAGTTGCGTTCTAATTGAATTATCGCGTGGCAAATGGACAACCACGTAGATCCATGCCGTAACATAAAAGACTAGATCTATGGCCTATCGCCTCCAGATGGTATCGAGCTCCTATATCACTTTACGAAATGAAGGACTGACTCACAGCCGTAGCATGTTTCTTCTGAGCTGATAAATGACCTGAATCCATCAATAAATGTGACATTCAGAGAGTAGAAGTGGCATCCTATATCGAAAGTCAGTGATGGTGACAACTGAAAAATTACTTGATCGACGACGTTGATCTGCTTCTGTTTGATTTGCCCCTAAAACCCATGTGATTCAAGGCTACTTTAAGACAGATAATTGCATCAGATTTACTCGTAGTTAAACAATTCATGTGTAAGATTGAATGTTGGAAAACTAGGACGTAGCGGTTATCCTCCAATGTTGAGGGAACGAGCAGGAGGGATGGGGCATGTCACGGAAATGATGGAAGGGAGCTGGGGATCCCATTTAGGGGCCAGCCTAGCTCGAGCCGTAAAGTTGACTGACATAAGAACGGATGTGAATCGGTCTTCTACAGAATGAGAAAACTACAACATTGAATGAGTACCGGGAAGGACCTTCTGATGTTCTATGGAACAGACAGCTACGAGTAAGGGTCAGATTATCTATCGAGTAGGAATTTCGGCTCTTGAGGTGGAAATCTGTGATCTTGTAATGACCAGAAATGGTGGGTACAGATAAGGCAAAGCAAGGACTCGAGATTTTCAGAACCCGTTTCGCTCCTGAGGAGCCCACGATAACTTTGAGGTGTCCTTGTTAAGGTAAATAACGGAAGTGTTGGCGCAGAATAGATGGGTGACGAAGAAAGCGCAAAAATTCGCGGAATTCGTGAAGGGTCCTCAAAATTAGTCAAGGTAAGGTGATGTACGAAATCATGGCGGCCGAATGGAAAGCTATATGGGAGGAGCATTTGAACAAGTTTTCGTTTTTGTGGAGTAGAGTAAAGAGCTGGCCACAGCAAGTAGAAAATGCTATCACAACGCTAATACAAATCGCTTTCCTTCATCGTCATGGGTTAGGATCTCTAAAGATTCGCATTTTTAACATATTTCTTCATAATTGAATGGTGCAGCATCTGCAATTCCGTTAAAACATGGCGATTTTGGGTGTGGTTCAATGAAGAGTTTTTATGTCTTTTCCGATCAGCTTTTTGGCTTGACAACACACCGTGCGGCATCCTTGAAGGCCAGAAATTCGTCTCACCAGTCAGTGAAAAAAAAGTCGCGCCTCCGACACCTCTCACAGAAGGTTGAGTCGGACAGGGAAATAATCGCGCCCACTCTCAGCACATATTGATTGCCTCCGCTATGAGTGAAACCGTTCAAATGTGTTTCGTGGTTGTTTCAGATAAGGCTTAATCGGGGGACGTGCGATTCGTGCGATTTCGGGTGCGCGCGGCAAATTGTGCGGCGAAGTTCGCGATGGTTCAAACGACTCCTGCGCCTATTACTGGGGCACAAACTTCAGATAGAGTACTTGCGCCTATTACTGGGGCACAAACTTCAGATAGAGTACTTTAGTAGGGTCGGACAATCCTACTAACCAACTTTGCTTCAAATTTGGGTCCCAATGATGAACGCTCCTGTCGTTCAAATCGCACCGAATTTCGCCGCGCAATTTGCTGCGCGCACCCAGAATCGCACGAATCGCACCACACCCGGCTTAATCTATCTCGAAGTGGAAAATAATCACTGTTCAATAGTACCAGTGCAAAACAGTCCGATGGTATTTCGGCTTAGATCTGATCGACCTCATTCAAACACAATCACAATCGTGGACTATGAAAGCAGCCTGTGGGGATGAAGGAACGCCAACAAACAGAAAAACAGCCTTCGCCCTTCTTTCGTCAGATATAAGAAACATGTACACACCCCCAAATTGAGATTTGAAGCCATCGTATCTTGTGACACAACATCCGGACGGACGTACACTCCATTCCTCGCCTGAAACAGTAATCGTTATGAACATCAAAGGAAAAATTCTGTCCCTTCGAATTGTACTGGTATTTTGCATGAGAAAATGAGTTATGAACGGGCGATCATAGATGGCGTCAGCGGAAAGCGATATCCAATTGCGCCATGTTTAATCATGATATTTTGAATTGGCGTGAAGTGGTAAAAGGGAAGAGTGCCAAAGTTGGTCAGACCGTGTCTAGGAAGATTGAAAAATGAAACAGCACCAGTGGCACATTCGGTGAAATCATTGATGGGCGTAACCAGTGGGGTAACTATTGCCAACACAGGACACTTCATATGCCTCCTTTAAAGGCACCGTTCACTTAAATTTGGGTAATCCAGATTATGATGAAAAATGGAAGACAAGATCGAAACTAGTGCGACTGATGTGAAGAAACTGCGTGCATCGGTGTTTCCAAAGTGAAAAAAGGCTCCGAAAAACCGTTTAAAAAGGGGCTGGACGAGAATGAAACAAGAAAAATGAAGAAGGTGGGGCGCCCGGAGGAGCTAAACAGTGCGTTTCAGTGCGTGCGTGTGGGTCCCGGTGCGAATAACAGACAATGGCAAGCCAAAATACATTCACTCATAAGCATAAATAAACAAAAAAACCCTAGTAGCAGCAAAAGTAGCTCACTTTTTTTAACCTCTAGGAGTAGGAAATTGAATAAGGGATCGCGGCAGCAAAAAGAATAACAGAGGAGAAAAGAATGGGAGAAAAACATCGCCTCATCACTCGGCGATTAGCTGATTGTGCGTAGGTCCTAGAACGAATAATAGCAATCTGTATTGTCTCAACACTCGACTAACGTGACACCGATCGAGGGGCAGGAACGCGAATTACAGTAACAACGGGGCTTCCGCTATGCCCTAAGCGCCGAGATTGTGGGAGCGAGAGGGTCCCTTCTACCACCCATGGGGACGCTGAGTATTTTTAAAAGAAGAACTCAGTAACCTTTTTATCGTGAACGGTGCCTTTAAGTAAGCATATGTTTATCTGCTCCCACATACCTTTTTGGTTTGATTTCACAGCGCTTCAGTTGAACGTCTGTCTCATGCACAGCAATGGGCCTTTAACGGTGTAGCCCCGAACTCAACATAATCCAGAATGAGTCGTATAACGTGCTGGTTGTCTCGTAGGATGACATGCCGTTCGAGACTCGTGCTTTGATTACTCCGCATGGCTGGGTGCGAAGGAATTTCACAAATAAAAAACATCGGTGTACGCCGAGTAACTCGAAGTAAATTGGTAACGAGAACTCGAACTATAACGCTAGGAACGAAGATGCGCAACAGATTTCTCAGAGTATAAATATGGCACACGATAGCTGCCATATTTATACTCTGAGACAGGATTTTTTTTATTTGATGAGGAACCCCTGACTCCCTCGATCATGCACATAACGAGCGCGATCATTTATTCGCATTGAAACCAATCAGATTCTCGAAGGATAGTGCTCAGAAGCAAACCGAATAGATAAACAGAGCCACTTCGTCCGTCACTAGCCCCTCCCATGAGCGGACGGGTAGCAATCAAAAAAAAAGCAGTTGTCCAGAAGTGAAAACTTCTGGTCTAGACAGTGCAACTACCCTAACACTCGTGAATATAGCCTTTTAGCTGTATGCGTGTTGGACAGGAAGTTTAATCAGAGATAGCATCTTTTGATGGTTTGGGCTGCGCTGTGGCATTTTTTCGAACAGGGAGAAGTTTGTGCGAAGAGAAGGCGCAAACTCCATTTTAATTTCTTTTTCTTCTGAATCTTTTCATTTTCTGGAGCAATAAGCCAGTCGGAGATCATAACAATAAGTGACCGCGGACGAACGCTCACCTTCCCATACGATGATATTCTGATCCACTTCACATAAGCGTTCTTAAATTCAGAACCATTACTGAATGAGAATTTCCAAGAAAGCACCAAATTTAGCGTATCCTCAGCATCAAAAAGCACATTGATGCCACTTTCCTAAACTCAAGGACATAATTCTGGGCACCATTAGCACAGCACTATATGTCAAATAATGAACAGTAGTCAAAAATGATAGGATGGGCAGAGTCAAAAGGGCACTGCTCTTATGAAAAACTTCAGATTCAGTCCAATTATGACTTGAAGCTCTGAAAAATAGGTGGAGATTAAGCAAGCGGTCGCTGATGGGATTGAGGGAATTCTTGGGGGGCGGAGTAACTGAAGCGTAGGTGCTGTCCACTGCAGAGACTACAGAATGTTTTAAACGCTATACAAGTACAGAGTAGTGAACCTTATGGTTGAGCACTATCCATTACTAAGACCTTCTGACATTGCTTAATCTAGCAGTGAATTTACTAGATCGAGCGACGAAAAGGACTTAGCAATGGATAGTGCCCAACCGAGAAGTTGAATTCGGTTTTTGGGTCAGTTCAGACGCAGGAGAAAAGTTATGAATGTAAGCATCAAGCGATGTTGATGAGAAATTGACACTAACAGAGACTCGCGGATGCCATGTGGTATAGCTGAGCAGCACCACCCACAGAAAGTGAAGAGTTGAACAACAGAAGAATTCGAGACAATTTTCCGACTCGGAGAAGGTGTAGTGTGAAGTGGAACACATCGCACACGCATGGTCACGGGTTCGAATCCCGGATCGATATCCGCCTAGGCAGAGGAAAACGCTGAGAAGTCTACATGCCTAATTAATGCAGAGAGTTCGTACAACTCTCTAGATTCCCCATGGATCATGAAGAAAAATCACAGACAGTGGCCTTCGTGCAGAAACAATGCTAGTCAACGTTGTTCTCAAAAGATAGAGCCTTTGGGCAATGTTCAATCCCGTCTGTGAGGGATGCGCCCCTGAATTCGAATTCCATTTAAAATAGGCATACTGAATGCGTATGTGTCCTAAGCGGTGGTGGGCCGATGTACAAGTCAGTGCTTTCATCCTCCCAAACGAGTCTGTACCACTTAACCGATCCCGGAGGGATGGAAGACTTGATTGACCTAGGTGGATACCGATACTGGATTCGAACCTGAGACCATGCGTGTGTAGTAGTGCATCACTTGCCACCGCACTAGCTACACCACCATTTACTATCTTTTCATCCTTGTCATTGATGAAACAATATAATATTAACCACTAACCACATAGTGAGCTACCCCAGGCACCGTGCGTTTCGATAAAGTTGGCGCTGTGAAAAAAAGCCATGGACTCCTTGGGCCACTTGTGCCATCAGTCTTACAAACAACTGTCGTGTAGAATGCTTCTGCAACATCTTCTGTTCATAAGTACATAGGCAGACTTTTTGAAGAGATTTTCCTCGCTAGAGCTGGATTGGTAGGCAGTCAGTCTACTGAGCAGATGCGTTCGCATCGTTTCATAAACAATGATCTGAGAAAGTTTTGCGAACGATGTACTGAGCACAAAACTCAGTAGTAAACATTATACAAGAGTACCCGTCTCCAAATAAGCAATTTTTAGTCCGGAGCCTATGCCTAAATATGAATATGAATCAAACAAAGAATCAACGCTGATTCAGTCAACGACATCGCTTGTTGCAAAATTTACTTTGAAACCCAGGCTACTGAGCAGTCATCAAGAAACATCTCATAATAGCCTTATACATCTTGCCTAGGCCGAATTAACATACAAGCTGGATTCGTTCGTGACCCACACACTTCTATTTATGGCTCTGGAGTACCTAAATATTGCAGATCCTAAATGGGGTTTTGGTTCTTGCCGTACCCTTTCGAAACAAGACTATGCTTTCTATAGTGAACGATAACTTCAAAAACAGGTCAGGGTTGGAAGATAGGGCTCCAAATTGAGAAACTGAAGTCCAAACTCTATACAATAAATCTAGGCCCTTCGCCAAGCAAGCCCAATTTCTTTCCTACATATAGGCCTATACCCTCATACTCAAAATTCGAGCCCCCAGTCATAATGGCCTCAATCTTCCATCTCATAGGTGTGCAAGCCTTTGGTTCCGCGTGCCTAAGCCCTCCTTGAGCTCAGAGCTAAACCCTTATTCTCACGAGGTGATTTGCAAGTACTCGTGGTCAGATGAAAATGTGGCCACGATTTAAACGACGGAGCGCCAACACAAAAACATGTAATTAAACACTTCGTACAATGTACAGCCTTACTGTCTCCATAGTGGTGCTTAATTAGGGTTATCGGCAGTGTTACATTAAAATGCAGACAATATACTCTCCTATGATTTATGTTCTATTTTCTCACATACCCGAATGCTTTACGTTGAATGACGCCGATGATAAATCCTGTGTCACCAGCTTTTTGTTACAACTTTCCGAAAGCGCTTGTGAGGGGCATAAGTTCACCTGCAATTATTTTGTGTTTTGAGATCTGGTTACAAAAGGAATCCTGAACTCGTCGTGATCGTTCTTGGACAGATTTAGCCGAAAACGTTGGATCACTTGCACAATAACCACTTTTCCAGCTCTGAGCTTCCCAGCATTCTTCGCCTCTCTGTACCATAAACAATCAAGATTGCGTTCTCAGTCATAACGGAATCCTATTAAGTCAACCACGTTTGAAAGACCAACAAATCAGGAATAGAAATTTGATGGGGTTGCAAGGACTGCCAATTTAGAAGGATTTCAGACACCACAAGATTTTGCTGAATTGGTGACGTGCCGCACTTTACGAATTCAGATTCATACTGAACTCTTCGCCCTGTAGAGGACAGAAGATCGACAACCTCGCATCCTTCATCCTCAATGTCTGGGTTCATCTGAGGTGGCACCGTGAACGAGATAGTGACGGATTCCGGAGATTTGAAGGTCAACAGAACATTCGTTGGTGAACTGTTAGGGTCTGAAAAGTTTGAAATCAAATACAAATCAGACACTAGAAAGATGAATTGTTCCCATACCGAGGACAGTTATATTCAATGTACTTGGAGGACCAAAGTAGCCTTCAAGAACGGCTACAACTTCCACTACATACTTTTTGGAGGTCTCAATAGGTAATACCTGAGAAGAGATTTGCCTAGAAGGACACCAGTAGTGAATGTTTCTGAGGCAATATGGACTTACTACGTCAGTTTTGTCTGAGGTCAAAGCTGACACGGGTGTAGCAGAGGGATTTCCATAATCGGAGCGGGCGTAAATGCTGAAATGCATACATTCTTCTGGACAAGACATTTTCTCTTCTCATAGCAAAAAATCACGTAGTAGAGGTGTGTCACACACTCATCTCCCCCACCGTAATGCAAAACCGATCTTTGCCGTAGTGATGCATAAATGACTCCTACGATATCATTACAGACGACCTCCATTACATCCCTTTCGGGTCGGGATCTACCTTTTCCGTACTTATTAATAGCATCGATCAGGCTCTGTTAAGATAGGAGGTTTTGATGGCTGCTAGTGGATGACGTAAGTTTCATGGAACTTGATTGTGAGGGAAAAGTCGTCTTCAAATACCAGAGACAGCTCGCGATAATTATGTTCTTTTGTGGCGCTAAGTTTTTCAGGTGGATCAATTTATTAGGTTAAAAAAATTTGTTGAAGATTGAAGATTTTGTTTGCGCCGTAACTTTATGTCAAACAGCCAGACGTTTCGAGGCAAACAATATCTTCAAATTATCTTAAAACACTAATGGAAACTAAAAGCCTGGACCATTACGGTATGTTATGTATTTAAACTTCCCTCAACACTTGGCACTTGTTTCCCGACAAACAAAAATCATTCTAAAGCGCAACTGCGATACAAAAGTATTCGACAAATCACGTTTGGAGCCGATGAGCCTTGTTGCGAAGGGAAGGGTGCAGTGTAAGATTTTAGTAATATAAGGGCTAAGTAGCACTGCAATAAGGCATAGTGGAGCTAGCTTGGTTGCTGTTTAGTGACTTCTGCCGAGGCGGAGCCGAACAAAAGGCGAATACGAAAAAGGGCAGAGGAAGCACGCTCGTTGGGACCGACTCTCGTCTTGCTGCACCCGCACCTCCGACAACCTCTGTCGGCACGCTCTACTCGTTTTTTCGCTCTGTGTATTGTGCTATAAAGGATAAATCGTTGAATATTACATGGTGCTGCACAGTACAATACACTATTGCAGGCTCGTCCCTACGACATCAAACTACACAAAGAAATGAAAGCAATTTTTGTCACGTTTATAGTAAATGAAGACTTTAAATGTGATTGTAAAAAAGTTAGCATATCCATGCGTGTTTTAGTACCTCATGATAAGGGTGATCCTGTCAACCTTTATTTATGTCCTTTTCGCTTACAACCCATGACTTGTAATGGAGTTTTCCTAGATCATGTATGTCTTCCAGTAACGCCGTGGATTACCCATGACCCAGACCACCCACGATTTGGGAGACAAATTAATGAAGATGCATAGCTAGGCAATGAAGGCTTCGAACTATTCTACGATTAAAGGTGTCACTCGGCTCTGCGTGGGCAAGTAGATTTAGAACAAAATGTTTTGATTACAATTACTCTCTTCGCAAATGTTATATACTTGAGCTTTGTGAAACTTAAGAATAATTTGAAGGACTCACGCCACATCGTAAACGGGATTTTCGTTTTCTCTGATGCCTTTTGCCTTCCATGAGAGCTTGATTTTCCCGCCGATTATACTACTTTTCAGATCAGTTATCGCTATCGGCTTGATTTTTCGGAACTTTACTTGAACTGAAAAGCTGTTGAATAAGTCTTCTGAAGGGGAGAGTAGCCCCGTTTCTCACAGGATTTCTATCACCAGTCTCGCTTCATTTTGAAGTTGACGGATAAAGACATCTTTGCATTTCCCTGAGAGCATCCTAACGGATTCAACTACACAAACCACAAAACGAATAGGGTTTGATTTAATACTTTCTCGATCTCTTTCTAAACCATGTATCGTGGCGCAACTTCTTTCACAACTTTTATCCTCCAAATTTGAACCGTTCGGTTTGTTGCTTATATATGCTCTTATACCAAAAAGGCACTGAGAGCTCCCCGTAATGAGACGTAATGCGTTCCTTTTGGTGATTAGTACAATCAGTCGATACATTCGAAACTTCAGTTGCTATAAGTGATTCCAGCTATCAGGTCATATTCCCATCACTCACCGGGAGAAGATTCCGTGGAATATTCTTCATTCCCGATAGCTTCTACTGTGAATTCTAGAGTCGTACCATAATCTCCTTCGTGAGTGTACGTATAGGTCGTAGCCTAAAAACAAAACTTGGAGAAATCTTCAATGAAAACAACTTTTTGATCTAAAAAGTTGAGAGTCGCATGTGATCGAAGCTTGCCAGTACTAGGACGATAATTATACCGAAGCAATTTTCAGTACGGTGTAAGCAAAAGAAGGCTTTGGCATAGTCAGTGTTGACCTTGAATTCAGTTTTTCAAACCACCACATTCTCTCCTTTCATGTGAAGGAGAACACATGAAATGAGCTAGCAAATTTAAAATAAGTCACACGGTTGGGCTGCTCATCCTTTTCCCGTGGTATGCAACACGAGTTCGAATCGACCGATTAGGCTTTATTCGGTTCTTTCTCTTCCGAGCTAATGCATGAGCAACAATAAAAACCAGTTATAGATTGCCGGCCCTTTTTAGGTGCTGAGATAATCGGGCACTGGGCTGCTGTGATAGACCCATCGGGATTCCGCCTCACGACGTCAGCGGTGGTCAGCCGCCTCCATTGTCGATTGGCGAACGGTGTCCACCCACTCCTTGTAACAGAAACCGAGAAGAATAAGACTACAAATACAGAACAACAACAAATCGATGAAAAAATAATGTTTCCCAACAACTAGACATTACAAAAACATTCCAGTCATGACCGTAAACCATGCCCGAAATCAAAAAGTAAAGGCAGAATATTTTGCTACACAATATACTCACATCATATTTTAGTTCCGCTGAGGGAAGCCTTCTTTTTTCCTTCCCATCGGGTGTTTCTATGATGTGCACATCAATGCTAAAAGGTGAGTATGACAGAGGGCCGAGTTTTCTTAGTGGCAACCTTCTTCTCATCCTAGGCCCGTCACAAGGACAGGGATGACCCTTTGGTGCTTCATTTCCTTCGTTCTTCATGTGATTCAGGGACCAGAGTATGGGCGGTTTGGGGTGTTTACATTTTACTAGAAGTTGGAATTTATTTATTTATTTACTATTATTGCAGAAACGGTATCCAAGTATATGATCATAGGAATAGAAAAAGACGCTCTTCATGTCAGAGAAATTGCTTGACTAGGAATCGATTATCGCTGGCAGATGCGCAATTTTGTAATGCTGCAAATCTCATTCATAGGCTTAGATCAAGTCGAATATTGACTTTTTTCACCGGTTCCTACTACATAAAAAAGAGAGCAAGAGCGCTTGGGGTGACGAGTTTACGCGCCTGTAACCGTCTGGTGCCTCCCACATAGGAGTACTATTCGTCGGCGTCCCAACGTCTCACTGTGAATTGTGCCGTTGCTTTAACAAGACATGGCCACTTTTGGGTGTGCACGGCGGCCAAACCTGTCTTGGAGCGAAAACAGTTCGGTATGGAGGAAAAGTGGTGTTCCATAGAGTTAAATAAGTTATTTGAAAATAAGTAAAATAAGTCGTTTATTCAAAAGAGTGAGGAGAAATTAGTCGGTAAAAGATCCGAATACAGTAATCATGTGCGTCATGATATGTAGTGATGTGGCGGGTAGACCTCTCGGATGACCTTCTGCAAGCTTTGGAAAAAAGACAACACTGAGACTTCAGTCAATATAAGTTCCACTTCTTTGAGAGTATAGGAGTACTGACTTGTAAAAACTAATCACTGTAAATCATTGCACGGTAACAATACGCATTCAATACGCCATTACGATTTTGGGTAGAAGGCAATTGCGGGGGCAGTCCAAATACGGAGTTGATTGACGCCAGTGGCTTCATACTTCCCTATAGTTCTAATGACTAACTGAAGCCTTCAGGGGAAGAAAAATGCCGAATGGTAAGAGCAGGCGGTAGAATTGCAGTGATAGTGGCCGAACTAGACTACTACGGTAGTGGACGTGCACGAAAACATGTCTCTTCAAGACTATATCAGACTATTTGAATTAGGATGGGAATTAGAGGGTTGGGTAGAAACACCGGTAGTAGGTAGCGGACTCCGCCCGCACTGGTGGAGGGTAGCGAAGTGAGTGGTAACTGAGCAAAAATGAGCAGCCAAGATGGATAAGAAAGGACTGTTATTAGTCAAAGTCAAGCACGCAAGACTTGAGGTGGATTCCGCTCTTCTTCGTGGATACGCAATGGCAGGCCAAATGGGAATACGTGTTGAAAGTAGCGAATGTTGAGAACAGAATCATCCATGCTTGGTAGGGCAAACACCGAAATGGGAAGAGTTACTACCCGATGTGAGCACTCCTGTTTGAATACATTCGAAAAATCAGTCTTTCAAAAGTCTTTTCAGATTTCGACTTTACTGACGAACCAACCAGTATGTGCATCCATTTTCAAACCTAGCTGTCGCGTTCCNTCATCCCATTGATCGTCGATTCCCTCGAGTGGGCGCCAGTAACGTCTTCATTCGTCCTTGTCCACAGCAGACCAGTAAAAGGTCATCGCTCGAAGCACACAAGGCGTAGAATTCCCTTAGAAGGTTTGCGAAGAAGTCTGACCATGCGCTGGGGACCTTCTTGGTGTTTGTTTGACGCCTTCGGGGGCACAGCCAGTAACCGTTTTACTCCAATGGTAATCACGATATGGTTCAACCTCTTCGGTCCAACTGATGTTCGATTGCTTGACAAAAAAACGGCATCCCTGAGCTTCATCCGCTGGCTGGGCACGAAAACCCGGATTCTTTTGTTTGCGTGCATAGGGAAATTCCGAGTATCGTGCTTCCCGAAGCGCTTGAATGGTACTAACAACATGCTCATCCTGCTTCGTCAAATTCAAATCTCCGAGATGTACGACAGAGCAAAAAGGGCTGAAGTGTCGAAAAGTTGAGCGAGTAGCCAGATGTTCTTTTCTATTTTTGCCACTCTCTCAATATTCCTGAATGCTTCCCACGCCACGAGTTTCCTTGTGCTCAGCTCACGACCTAGGACGTTCCTCATATGACTTGTTCAAATGCATATACGTAGCTAGAATTTTTGGAAACCTTCGTTCCTTCTGGCATAAACTCAGCATGAGGTACATAAACGTTTTTCATTGTCATCGCCTACGTTGAATTCGTCATAAGTCAGTCCTTCCACAAGCGCTGTCAAATTCGGTCAGCATCCGTTCCGTGGGCTCGATGATCTCCGCTTTTGCAGACGACATAGCGCTTCTGACACTGAGCATTGAGCACGCGGGACGAATGCTGACGATCTTCACGCCCAAGCCTCCCCATCCCAAATGATGCATTGTGTCCTCGAGAGGAGCATGAAAAGTTTGGGCGAAGTGGTACACCCTGTCGGACTGCTTGTTCACGTTGACAAGTACTTGCCTACGGAATGGAGATATTCTGGTCTGAAGTTGTCGTATAGCCCATAATGCATGCTTATGTATTGAGGACGAACACCCTGGATGCCCAGGGCTTCGACTACCGCCTCTCCTTCGACAGCATTTAGAGCGTCCTTCAAGTAGATGAATCAATGAGTCTTGTAATAGTGTAGATGTGATCCTGTGGAGTATGAGGAGTAGGAGAAATTTGTAGGTTTTAGACAGCGGGCAGATTGGGCGATATGCATTCCGACAGGTACCGCGAACAGAGCCTAGCCAGAGTTCTGACGATGACTGATGGAAGGCTTTTCAGCTTTCTTTTATCCTCTCAGAACCGGACGCTGTACAATTCTTTAAGGGCGTGATGACATGCAAATTCTGGAAGGGAGAACTGAAGAAATAAGACAACCGTTATTTCTAGATGGTAAGTAGGTAAGTAAAGTGGTTGTTGAAGAGTTTCAAGTTGAAGTTGTAGATTGCTTCTCCGTTGCCTCTCGAGATGAAGTAATGCTCCGTCAGGAAGGTGAAGGAATCGTCTTGGTTTTACAAATGACGGCCACAACTGCTGCTCTTCTCTCTTCCGGATATTCGTTAATCAGTCGGCTCGCCCGGCTGACGACGGGCTCCCTCCTTCTTGTGTTAAATCCCTGCCTGCACCTTTTTCAAATTTGGAGACCGGTAGATCAGCGGAAAACTTGTTCATTCCCGGCCAAACACAAACACCAAACACAATTCGTGCGCGCCCCGTCCGCCATTAACAAACCTACCCAGGTTCTGTGCGTTTGAGTAACTAGATTTATTCCCGACTTATTCAATCTTGGTTTCGAAATTTCGCTTCAAATCTGAATTGAAATTCTTCTCGCTCAAGCCTCGCCTCCCGTGGGCCGAATTAAGTCCTGCCGCCCGACACAGGTGCTCCCATCCTGCCGCCTGTATTTCTATCGAATATGAGCGCTCTAGGTCCACGTTTAGGTTTTCACACAAACCCCGCCCAATGTGGGTCCACCATGAGCGTTTCCATCCTGCCGCCTGTACTCTTACCAAATTTAAACTCCCTCGGTCCGTGGGAACCGGAGTTATGAATTTCCGATCAAACACACAGACACACACACAGACAAACCAACAGACATACTTACACTTAGCGCGTTATATACAGTAGGATCGCCTCTCTGCATAGCTTGCACCGACGTGTGCGGCTCGCGTTGACACGCTGGCCCTACTCACAAACTCTCCGTTTTCCTAGCACTTACGTGAAGATAATAAACAAGCTAGTTGTTTTCTTCGACGCTGTCGAGATAACGGAATCTCCTCAAAAACTAGCGGGAGAAGCAAGTTGACCTTAGCTAATGATGGTCTTGAGGCTCTGCTTCACTATCCTACCTTCAAGCACTTAGAAGCAGAATCTCGCGCAGAGGAGGCGATAAATCGATCCGTCTATAGCTTTGAGGCGACAGCTACGTCCGCAAAACTTTCGGTTGGAGGTCATGACATGTCTTTCATTACGGAACTGTATACCTAACGACTACCCTGACCATCGCGAATAGGTGGGCTTCTGAAACTACGATTTACCATGGATAGTGTGGATCGACATGTTATACTCTCGCAGTCTTTCGCCCTGCTTATTCCATTCCGTTCCATAGATCCCGTTATGTAGCTTTTCATCAGTTCTTCTGACGCCAACTTTGGCATTGAAATCACCAGAGAACGAAGTGTGTTCGTTTCTGATGAGCCTATCTAGGTACATATAAGACGCTTTCAGCTTCTCCTCCACGTAGCTCAGTGTTGGTGCGTAGGCAACGGAGAACATTTGAGTGCCATTGAGCCATATTTTCTCAACCGCGACTGTCCAATCCAGATTGTCGAGGTTTCGTACGAATCGACGCAAGTTTCAAGTAAAAGCTCTTAGCACTT